CAGGAGCACAGTCATCAGAGACACACTGAATGTGGTGCTTTTGTACCACTGGAGTCACCTAAGAGGGAAACAGAGGCACTGGTAAGAAGCTGGCTCAGTTTGGTGTCATTGCTGTGGGGAGCATTAACTGTGGGCATAGACTCAGTTTAATTCAAAGTGTTTGGTGCCAGAGTGTAGCCCAGAAGGCAAGTAATGATCCCAATTTATTTTTTTGTTCTGTATGTAAACAGTTAGATAAGGGAGAGGGGTTTTTACAAGCTGTAGTTCTGTAAACAGTGTCCTTAATTGTCTGGAAAGGTCATGAGAGCATGAGAAAATGTGAAACTATTTCTGCTTGGAGCATGAAATGACTGGGGAGTAAATCAGTGATTCTGATGTGGAAGAGTTGTGGGTACAGCCAGGGGGATTGCTGGGCTTTATGGAAGCTTATGAATGTTTAAGCCAGAGATTCTAAGATGCAAAAAGAAATAATTTTATTCTAAGATAAGAAGCAGGGGTGGCATGGCTTCCCCTAGGCTGGAGAACGCCCTCTCTGTGTTCATTAGCTTTGCTTTCAGAGGAGTCTGCATGTTCAGAGGGCACCAGCACCTGCCCTCAACTTCTGCCTCATGACCATTTTCATTTAAGAGTCTGTTTTATTGCCTAATAGAGGTTTGGTTTTTAATTAATTTTGTGTGGTTCTGACATTGCTGTAAGGAATCAGCTGGAATTCACAGGGTCAGCAGGGCTCTGGGTGATCCATTCCAATAAATGCTGCAGGTACCTGAACCCCAAAGGAGGCCCTGCAGCTGCATTCCTGAGCCAGCTGATGGGAGCAGGAAGGGCTTTCATAACCTCTCACAGCTCTTTGTCCCTGGAAATCAGACACTGTGGCATCTCTGCTTCCCACTCAAAGTTCTTCACGCCTCAGCTCAGTGTTTATTATTTTCTGTCGCTGTCTATTCCGCTTTTTAAAGTGCCTCTATTCCCTTCTAAATCCCCATTTGGATTCAGACTAAAGATCCATCTTTTCTCCTGGGCTCCCGTGGCCACCCAGAGCTGTCTGAAATGTAGATTTTTCTGCAGCCTCTCCTGAGTATGTGGAATCACACAGACACTACAGATACCTGTTCTCCAGGGATTGTTCTTAATTCGTCAATGCTACCGTGAGCCACGTTAAATCACTGTCACCGCTCCTCCTCCTCTCCTCTCTCGGGTTTGTAATAAGGACTTATTAGATAATGCAGAAATTAGAGGAATAACACCTAAATTCATTAAGCAATAAAATTAATTCACGGCCTGTAATTGTGCGAGCAGGAGACCGGTAATTCCTGTTCGCTCCGGTTTCAGAGGAGCTCCGCCCTGGCAGCGCTGGGGCAGCGGCGGGGCCGGGCAGTGCCCGCTGGGGCCGGGCAGTGCCCGCTGGGGCCGGGCCGGGCGGAGCTCAGCCCCGTGCCCAGCCCGGGAGCGCCCTGACCTGCCGGGCTGCCCGTGGCACCTCCCCGCCGCCTCTGGGCTCTGGGGAACTCGGAGTTCCTGCATCACCTGCAGAGGAGCTGGTGAAGTTTTGTTGTGCGCCAAAGTTTCCCTGCCATAGCCCATCCCGGGATAGGAGCAGGAACCTGCGCTCCCGCGTGTCCCGGTGCTGCTGCCTGCTCTGGCATTCCAGGCATTCCTCCCTCTCTCGCTGCCTCTGATGAAGTCATCACCTCTCCTTCTCTCCTTCCCGGCTCCTTCCGAGTGCCATGGCATGAGCGCTGCTCACCAGCACGGCTTCCTTCTGGTGAGTTCGGGGAGAACATTTCTCCTTGCTGACTTCTCTCCCAGCGCTCAGGTCGGACCTCCCTTTGTTGTCCGGAGCTGGAGCAGGTTCTTATCAGGAGATCAACTTGCTGGGAAGTTCCTGCTTGTTGTTATTCCATCCAGCAGCCTCGCTTTGCTTTTGTTCCCGCTGTCTCTTCCACTGGCTGATCCCTGGAATTGTGCGAGGGGGGGAGTGTGAGGAGAGATGAACAAACAGGAGTTAAAGTATTTTATTCTCCATAATGAGAGCGTAATCCTGATGATCTCTTGGACTAGTTGGGATTCTCAGGAGCAGGTAATGCAAATGGGAGAACACCTCACTTGCTAAGTGAAAAGTAAACAGTAGTAACAGCTGTTTGTGTGTTTGTTACACATAACAACCCGCTTGGAGCAGTGTCTGGGAAGTGGAGTCATAGGAGGCAGTGATGTTGGGTGGGTTAAACAAGAGTTTGGGTGCCAGGAGCTGCTCACAGCCTGTTCTGCTGCTGCCCTGGAGCCCTGGGGAGATTGCTGTGCTGCTCCATAGCCATTCCACAGCGTGAAAAACAGGCATGGAAGAGTGGAGTGAGGATTAATTATTCTGTCAGTTCCAGTGCCTTGAATAAGTTAACAAACCAAATGTGTTTATTACTGTACAGAAAGAGTTTCAGGAATACTCATAAGCCCGAGGTCCTAAATTATTGTGCAGTGTTTGCAGTGCTGTGTGTCCTCATGGCAGTGGGATGTGTTCAACTTAAAAACCTCCTGGTGCCCTCCACAGCCAACAACGTGCTGGCCCAGCTGTGTGGGGATAACCTGGGAGAGCTTTCAGGGGCTTGATAATTTCAAGGAAGTCTCTCTTTGAAGATCTTACTCTGCACAGGGGGAGACCAAAAACATTGCAGTCTTCTGTAAATATTTGGAAAAGCAGGAGGCCCTGTTGTTTATTTCTCTCTCTCCTGTGTTGTATAACGTGGATGAGCCCTGGGCCCTCTGTGCTATTGAGAGGTGACACAGAACTGCCACCATGTCTGTCCAGACAGAGTTGGAAGGTCAGGAGAGCTTGGGAAGAAAAGGCCAAAATCAGACACTGAATCCGATCCCTTGAAGCTTGCTTATTTTATGCACAAGTGGGCAAATGTGACAGAAATGACAGAAAATTAGGCTGGAAGGGGTTTCAGGAGGTGTGTGGTATCTGTGTGCCCCAGGAGAGGGGAGGAAAGGCAGCCCACTGTCCCTGAACCTCTCTGCAGGGAGAGCTCTCCCTCTCTCTGTAACTGTCCATGGCAGGATGGGACTGTTTCAGTGCCTAACCCAAATATCTTCTGCTGCAAATGAAGACATTTCTTTCTCAGCCTCTGGTGACTGTGGAGAGTTTTTATTACTGGCTTACAGTGCCCTTTTCCATGGCTCTGGGCTTGCCATGGCAGCGTGGCTGATGCCAGGCCCTGGGCAGAGTGACCCAGCCTGAGATGGTGCCTCCAGCCCTGAAAGAGTAAAAAGGGCACTTAAACCTTTATATATTCATACTGCTCACCAAGTGAATGCTGTACATTCCTGGAGTTACTAATTTACCTGTAAGCTATTTTTATTAACCTTTAAAACAAACAGCTCCCCCCCATCCCCTCCAACACCCACACCCACCCCTACTTCTGGTTATTTCTGGTTTCTTACAGAGGGTTTTGTAACATCTCTCCTGCAGTGAAACCCACAGTGCTTAAACAGAGCTAAAATGAAGATCTGACTGCAAACATTTCATGAACCATAAGTTTAATAATTATAGGAGGGTTTAGGTGCTAAGCCAGCTCTGTGTTTGGTCTCGGGTCACAGTGATGTGTTTGCTGGTTCTGCTTGAGGTGTATTTTAATGATGAAATAAGAAGCTAAGATGGGGGGCTGTTAGCCCCATACAGTTGTTTGGGGCTGGGGAGCACATGGGGAAAGTAATTTCTTGTAGCTGCCTTTCACATAATGCCATGGCTCCTGTTTTCCAGCCAGGTGTGTGAGGAATGCTTTAAACAAGGTTCATTTTTCTGGTCATTAGGAAAATGCAAAGCAGCTTCTTCAGTTGTCATCTCGAGCTCACTTTCAAAATGCTGGAATCAAGTAGTTTCTTTATGACAGTCCAAAAACAAAAGAAGGTTCAAAGGAATGGGGTGGGAGCCTGAATCTTCTGAGAGGAGATGACACCAAAGGATTTTACTGCTTGAGATTCAAAGTGCAGCTTTCTGCAGACAAAGTGCCCCAGCCATTTGAAGGCAGGCTGGAAGCTGGGCAGGCAGAGCTGCTGCTCTGGGCTGGCTGAGTTTCACACAGGTTACGTGGCAACCAAGGAAGATGTCACCGAGCCAGCACCTCAGCCCACCCATGGCTGGAATCTCAATCTGCTCTTTTGGAGTGGTTTAAGACACATCTCAGGAATGGTGGGCTGGAATTGCTGGTGATAGTTGTTTCTTACAGTCAGGCTTTGGCAAGGGCAGAACCTTGCTGAGGAGACAATGGCCATGGAAATGCTTGGCTAAGAAGGACTCTGGAATGGTTTTGGGAAGGGAAGCTTGTTTCAGGGTCTGAGCATCACTGAATGGCAGCTTGGAAATAAATCTGTTTCTCTGAGTTCCATGGTGCTTTCAGAGAGGGTTTGTGAACTGAGGAAACACCACCTTATGATGCTGTAGCTGACCTGTCCTAGCATCTTCCTAAATCTCTTCAGTGTTGAGCATAAGTGTTAATTTTACCTTTTCAGCCCCCTCCCTTGCCAGCAGGGAAGGAGGTAAGTATTCCTATCCTCTTTGTATACTTTATCAAAAGTAGGATTTAGTTATTTTTTCCTGATTCCAAAACAAATTGCTGGAGGAATTAGAGAGGTAACTTAAGCATCCTGTGCCTCTAACCCCATTAGCAGTTTCCCCGAGGAGGATCAAATCCATGAGTGCACGGGTCTGTACTTTGCATATAATTCTCACTCATCTCAATGCAGTTTCTGTTTATTCATCTGCAGACTGGAAATAATGATAATGCCAACCTGTCAGGCATTATCTGACGCTTACAGTTGTATAAAAATGCTAATTGTTGAAGGTGAAAGTCCTGCTGGTGGAATGTTGCTCCAGGCAGGCGAAATGCCTGGGGTGGGGTGGTCGCGCTGCCTCATTGGGAGGGAGACAGCACGCAGTGCAGGGGCTGCTGGCACTGCTGGGCTGTCCCTGTGCCGGGTTGGTGACTGTCCCTGTGCTCTGTCCCCAGAGTCGCCCCCGGAGCGCTGCGGGCAGAGGCGCAGCATGCCCAGCGGCATCGCGGAGAAGAACCCCAGCATGGAGCCCGCGGCCACCACGCCCTTCCGCGTCACGGTCAGTCCTGCCCCGCACCTGGGCCCTGGGGTCCTGAGGAATGGCCGGGGGAAAGGAGCCTGCTCACCCTGGGAGAAGTGCTGTGTGTGACACTGCTGTGAGTGAGACTGGCTGCTCACCTGTTTGCAGGGGATGGCTGCTGTCAGACACTGGTAGCAGCCAGCAGCTGGCAGATGTGTCCTGGTAGAGCAGCAGGGTTTGAGTGGATCTGGAGCTTCACCTGGGAAACTTTCCTGGAGAGGTTTCCCTGGTGAGTCCTGGTGCAGTGTGTTCCTGGGTGCATTTACCTGTCTGCAGCTGTACAGTGTGTGCTCACACTCCTACAGAGGGAAAATCTCCTCTGGAGGAACCTGTCATTACTCACAGCACACCTGCCAAGCTGGGATTGCCCAGAGCCTGGGATCTTGTCCCGGCAGGAGCCTGGAGCAGCCATCCACTTTTTCCATGGCTTCAGTCCCTGTGCTCTGAGGTGTCCCTGGTTGTTCTGCTCCATGACTGCCAGAGGTCTTGGTGCTCCATGGGAAGGGCAGTGCTGTGTCATTGACAGTCAGGAGCAGCGACCCCTGGAATGGGATCTGTCAGTGCTGAGCCCTGGCTGGCACTGCCCTGTGTCAGCACAGCAAGGAGTGAGCACAGAGTCCCCTCCCCACTCCCTGCTCACATCAGTGTCTGGGCTGGCTCTCAGCACACACAGATATTTTTATTTTTATTCCAAGACACAAATGATCTTGCAGCAGGTTTGCTCCATGCAGGTTTTCTCTGCAGGCCACACCTTCTTTACAGACTCAGCTGCTGCTTACCAAACTCAGGGAGGCAGAACCAGAATTTCAAAGCAAAGACAATGGTGCAATCTGAAAAAAGAATAATCTGAGCACACCCAGTTCACCTGGGAACATTTGCATTGGTGAATGAGTCATGATTAGCAGTTTGGACAAGTAGTTTATTTTAGTTCTAGAAATTGTTCTTCCAGCCATCAGAACCTATTGATCTCAGTGAATGAGTATCCTTGAACTCTAAACAACTACTGCTGGTTGGTGAAAACAGCAAAACATGATGGGAAAATCTGGATTCTTCACATGACAGAGGACTTGGGAATATTTCTCATAGTGTCCCTGTAGTCAAAGAAAAGAAAAAGCAGTTTATTCCTTTCCAACAGCATATATCCTGCTTTTTGGGTTTTTAGAGAAGCTATTCCAGCTTTGAGCAGCTGGTGGTGGAACAGCTGATGTGGGATGCAGTTCTTTGCTTTAAGCAGCTCTGTTACTCAGTGTGGATTAAATAAGGGCAGCCATCACATGGGTAATACATGACATTTGTCTTCTCTGAGTTCAAATCCAGCCTCATCTCATTTCTCCCCTGCGCCCCCTCCGAGTGTCACTGCATTAATATGAATGGCTTCATTAGGTACAGTTGGTGCTGCTGCCCAGCCTTCAGCAGATGTCTGACTTTAGAAATATATTCTCCCTCACCTTCCTTCATTAACCAGAGGAACATTAGCAGTCAGTCCACTCCAGCCACTGGGAATAGTAATTAGTGCCTTAGTTTAGTGGTAATGGGATTATTACTTTTGAGCCTGCTGTTGTAGGTTTGGAAATTGTAAGCTTTTCATATTTTACAGCTGATTGTTCTTCCCTGACATCTCCATCCTTCTGCTGTTGAGTCTCCAAGGGCCTGTGAAGCTCAGGAGCCATTGGTTTCAGCTATTTTGGCAGTGTTGCATTCCCAGATGCTTTCTTTCATTTCAAAACTAGAGCAAACTAGGGTGGAAATTTGGGAACTTCCCTTCCCATGCAGAAGTCTGCCAGGCAGGTTACAGATAATTGGGCATTGTGGTTTTTGAAAACAAGAGCTCCTGTAGTTTTTGGATTATAGAATATAAACCTTGAAAATCAAGTCCTGTCCTTACCCCTTCTCCTGAAAGAAATTTTTAATGAAGCTTCTTAAACTTGGAAAAATCTCCTCTAGTCCTGGTTATCTCATGCTGTACAGGAATTATTTTCCATGTTAATCCCTCCCTTCACTTCCATGCTCTCAGAGCTCTGTATGGGCTGATGCAGAATGAGAAACTGGAGGCTCCAGCCCCAGTGAGGCTGGACCTGACCTGAGCTCCTTGTCCTGAGCCTGCTCTCAGAGCCATGTTCAGATTTCAGTCTCCACTTGCAGTGGGCGCGTGGCATCAGCTGCTGATGCTGCAGGGCTGGGGACACCAAAGTGTCCCTTCCCCATGGCCCTGGTTAAAGCCCTGCTTGTAGGAGAAGGCAGAGAAGCATTTTGCCTCTCTGCATTGAATCCCAATAGCTCCAGGTGTGGGATGGGTTAAAGCTGAAGTTTGTGGGGTATTTTGTCAAACTCAGGGGCCAGAGGCTGGGCAGGTCTGCGAGTGCCAGTGAGAGCCCTCCCTGTGCCCCCTTGCAGGGAAGTGCTGCAGGGGAGGGTTTGCTGAGGCTCACGGGGAGGACTCACTGCCATCCCATCAAGCACTGCCATCTATTGACTCCTTCTGTTAGAGCCCGATTTCCTTCACTTGCTGGGAGAATATCCCAGGCCAGCAAAGCCCAAATTGCCAAAAAACTTGAGGAGGCATCTGTATTCTCTCTTTTACTAGACAGAATTTAGGATTTCTTTCTCCAGCCCTTTAATCCTCAATTCTAGCATTAATAATTTGCTTTCCAGGAGCACCAAAAACACTTGATTGCTTCTTCTGGTTGAAGCCACACTGGCCTCAAAAATCCCTCAAAACCACAGCAAAACAGTTTTTCTTCTCCCTGTAACATGAACTTGTTTTCCTGCAGTTTTCCTGCCTGGTTGGGCTCAGTACACAGCTGAATTTGCAGTGATCCATCATAAGCTACTCTTACAGCATTCCTCCATCTATCCTGGTTTTAATCCTTGATAAATGAAGTATTAAATACTAATGGCAGTAAATGGAAACTCCTGGAGAGATGAAAGTGAAGAGCCCTTCTGCCATTCCTCTTCACTGAACATAATCCTAAATAATGGGAGCCCAGTTCAAGCTGCTGTGGACAAGATATTGAAGGATTTTTTCCCCCAAGTTTTTGCCTGTGCATAAAACACTGTATTTTCCTTTTTTTTTTTTTTTAAAGCAATCATGTAGTATATATTATAATGATTTGAGAGATTCTTTGGAGAATTTATGTTCCTGTATTATGTGGAGAGTGGAATGGCACTTCCCTCAGCGTGATCACCCCTCTTTAATTGAAATGTAATTGTTTACTAAACCATTGCAGCTCAAAGGGAAAATTACTGTCATTTTGGTCTGTGCCTGCATATATTAAAGTGCCCCTTTTGCAGGGATTGAATTTTAGGAGAATAGGAACATTATCACAGATGATATATAAACATAAAGCCATTATCATTAAACTGTCAGCTGCAACTGACTTTGGGTAACCAGTGCTAGTGGCAGCAAGAAATATGGAAATTACTTGGAGAATGTATTTGTCAGCTCAGTCACCATTTCTGCAACAGGACATGCTTGGAAGCTTTGGGGTTGTGAGCATTTCAGGGATTGGAAGGAAAATGAGGTCATTTCCAGCCTGTGCAGTTGTTTGCAGTCCCTGGCAGTGCTTGGCAGGAATCAGGAGGGCCCATCTGGCCCTCAGAGGGTTTGTCAGGTACCCAGCACCAGACCCTGCACCCTGAGCATCCTCTGGGGAGGGATTCCAGGTTGGTCCTTACCACCCTCATCTTCCAGCTGGGAAAACTGAGGGAGGGAAAACTTAGCTAACTTCAATCTGATCATTCTCCAAAGCCCAAAAATACATCCTGAGCTGAATTTCTTCATTTCTAATTCCCAGTCCTGGTGTTAACCACTAGCTAAGCTATTCCTAATTACCTCTCTGAAATCCTCCTCAGTTTCAAGAGAATTAAATATTCTCCAAATTGATGCTGTAATGTGAAAATGAGTAAATGGGTTCCTGGACTCCCAAGTCCTTGTTCCTAGGGCAGAAATGCTTTGATTTTCTTACTATCTCTGCCAGGACCTCATGTTGTCAAATTTCTAATTGCTTGTTATTTAAATTAGAGCCTTCTGCCTTATTTTTCTAAGTCATCTTATTAACGTAAATCTGTGAGTATTTTTGATCTTTAATTTTTGCTGCCCTTTATGAGACATGAGATAAATTCTAGTTAAGGTATGAAGGATAAATTTCATTTTGAAAAAGGGAATCTTTTTCCCTACTCAATGCTCCCTAGCACAGGGGTTGGAAAGTGAACTGACTGTAAGAATATTTTTAATTCTTTGAGTCTGACCTTGTATCTTGAATTTTTTTTTTTAAGTAAACTTGGAATTTCCACTTGGGGAGTACTGGAAGGCAGCATGGTCAGAGATAGGAGGGACTGTCAGATTTCAGCACAGAGCTGCAGCCCAAACCACTGAGGATTTATGATGTGCATCAAGCAGGAGACAAGAATGACAGGATAAAAGACATGGTGCTATGACCTGCTTCACTGAAAGGGGCTCAGCAAGGCAGGGTATGGATTTTTTCCCTTTTTGAACTGAGTATGTTCCAGGGAGGTCTCTGTCAGAGCCTGCAGCTGTCTGAAGGACAGTTTTAGAGAAAAGAAGAGCACAGGGCTCATCAACAGCTTAATTCCCACACTGAGGCCATCTCTCTACAGAATTGTGAGTGATCCTGCTGCAGGTTTTGTGGGGTTCTGCTTTTGATTGCTGTCACACTGGGGTGCTGGGACAGCAGAGGGTACCCAGGGCAGGGCTGGCTGTGCTGTGGGCACTGAGCAGGGGATGGGACATGACCTGGAGCCTTGTGAGGATCCTCACAGGGCCCAGGCAGAGCCCTGGGTTACCCTGCAGCTTCCACTGAGAGGGAAATGCCACAAATCACCCAATTCCTGTGCCCCAACGCCACTGAAATGTGTTCTGGGCTAGGGCAGGAGCTCACGTTGTTGCTTCCTGTGTGAAGCTTGGGCAGTGGATAAACAAGGAAATTTGTGCTTCTGGGGAAGATAAAGTCAAATACTGA